ATTTTCTTTAAAGAAATTTCTAGAATAATATAGAACCTATAGATGTGTACAAATGTTTGAAAAAAATACTCATCGGTTAAGACGAATTGATATAGATCTAAGTCATTGTGTAAAAGTAGGAGAATCTAGATCTAGGTGTTTGATAGTTCAGTAGCCTAGATATTTGATAATAAGTTGCGCATCAAATTTTTGACCGCATGCTACAGTAGTGAAGATAGCGTATTATTTTCATCCGAAACATTAATTTCCGCATCCATACACCTTTTTGAGCCTTTATAAGCACACGTAGTCCTACTTTAATTATGTTTTTGTTTTTGAAAGCATTTTCAATTCCTTTCACTTCCCACGCGCGGCACATATAATTATGATTATAATTTAAGATTCCAAATCTGACGAATGTATTATTAAATAGCGTATAATGCTGAGTTAGCCAATGCATTGCAATGCGCACTATTATCAATTGATCGAATTGTAACAAGACTTCAATTTGATCCGTAACAAGAGACCACTTATTTTTTTATACGTGTTCATGAATGTGTGTTTGTTTACTGTGTGCGGGGATTAAAAATTAAAGATTAAAGATTCCAGATCTGACGAATGTATTTATAAAATAGCGTAATAGTGCTGGGTTAGCCAATGCCTTGCGATACGCGCTTTTATCAATTAATTGAATTGTAACAGGACTTCGATTTGATCCGTAACAAGACAACACTTATTTTTTCTTATACGTGTTCAAAAATGTGTGTTTGTTTACTGTGTGCGGGCATTAAAGATTCCAGGTCTGACGAATGTATTTATTAAATAGCATATAGGCCTATAGGGCAGGGGTGTCCAACGCATTGCGATACGCACTTTTATCAATTGATCGAATTGTAACAAGACTTCAATTTGATCCGTAACAAGAGGCCACTTATTTTTTATACGTGTTCATGAATGTGTGTTTGTTTACTGTGTGCGGGGATTAAAAATTAAAGATTAAAGATTCCAGATCTGACGAATGTATTTATAAAATAGCGTAATAGTGCTGGGTTAGCCAATGCCTTGCGATACGCGCTTTTATCAATTAATTGAATTGTAACAGGACTTCGATTTGATCCGTAACAAGACAACACTTATTTTTTCTTATACGTGTTCAAAAATGTGTGTTTGTTTACTGTGTGCGGGCATTAAAGATTCCAGGTCTGACGAATGTATTTATTAAATAGCATATAGGCCTATAGGGCAGGGGTGTCCAACGCATTGCGATACGCACTTTTATCAATTAATCGAATTGAAACAGGACTTCAATTTGATCCGTAACAACAGACCACTTATTTTTTCTTGTTCGTGTTCCAAAATATGTGTTTGTTTACTGTGTGCGGGGATTACAGGGGGACAAGCCCATCCCCTCGACATGTGATCCAGAGTATGGGGATACATTTTTCTCAAAATGCACACAGCTCTGAAATCCTTGACCAGTGATCACTCGCCATGGAACTCTTTCTGTTGTGACTGTAGACACAAGTTTCTTCATTATCACATCTGAATGAGCCTCTCATTCATGCATTAGAAATCACACTCCCAACACACAGAAAATGACTTTGAACATATATTCAGGAAACATATGCCAGTTCCACTCTTGTTTACTTTGTTTTGCATTATTGGCTTTTATGTGTAAAACAATATTTAGAGGCCTTTTCTGCATTTTTGTGTTTTTGGCAGCATGTACAATAGGCCTATGTATTTTATGTGCAACCGACACATTCTCCAATCGTAGATCTAGTATTAATCAAGACTATATCTAGATACTTTTCCAACAGAGTTAATGTTCATAATTAGTGTTATTATCAAGTGTATTGTGATTGTGAAGATCTTTAGTAGATCTAGATCTAGTAGTAGATCTAGAGATCTAGATATATATCTAGATCTATCTAGATCTAGATCCCATCCCATCCCATCATTAAAAAAACAACAACAAACCAACAATACAGATACAAAAACATTGTAACATTGCCAATTATGACATATTGTTGGCAGTAAAAATGTACTAGACTATTTCACTATATTTCCTCTTCGAAGAAAGTTTTAAAATACTGATGTAACTTAATGTAAGGTGTCTTCCAAGCCCTACCACTAGCATCAGCGTGCATAGCAACGCGAAGCCTCGCTGTGCGGCGCAGCCAAAGGTGCCCTCAACTGGCCGCCATGTTTTAGTTTCAATTCCTCACAGCGAATCGGCGATCGCGAAGAGGGAGTTCCGCTTCTATAAGTGTAGAATTCTGTGTGTAGATCTTACCTTCCTTCCACAAGATCAAGTGGCTGAAAGGCAGCAGTAAGGTCCAGTAGGAGCCAAGGACTAGCAGTAAAAATTGGCCGCTTTTAAGGACAAGCGGGTTGACTCAAATTTCGGGGGTTTCCAGAAATCTTGACCTACACCAAAAGTGGGCATTGCCCTACCTATAGGAGAAGTCTGGTTTCATTGGTATTTGTTTGATTGAAGAGAAGACTCTCTTTGTCTTTTAAAGAAACTGTAAAAAGGCAAAAACTTTACCTTCGATTTTCTCAAAACTCCTTTTTTTCGGAATAGCCCAATTGTGCTTAAAAGCGACCAATTTAAGAAGGTTGCACGAGAAGAATCAGGAACCCAGGGATGGGGCAACGGACGTGAGGGTATGGAAGACATAAATTGGAGACGAAAGCTGACGACAGAACATTGTTAGAGAGCAGGAATTAATAAAGCATTTTCCGTCGCTATCCGGATTCGAACCCAGGGTCCATTGAATGAGGGGCAAACACCCTCTTGACCACGAGAGCCCCCACGTGTCTTCAAGGCTCTGTATGGGCGTCCAAAAGAAACTTGATAATTTAATCACCCTATCATCCTGTTACCGTTAAAGCCTTGCATTACCCACTCCTGCGGCATACCAATTAGATCTAATTTAAAGCTAATTAAACTCTGCATCATATACATTGATAATTCATCTATATTAAGAGATGCCTGAGATATTATGGTAACTCAAAATTTGCCTTAAAAAATCAGGCTTTGCAAAATTGTGCGAAAGCAAAAAAAAACACCCTTAAATATTGTATTC